GGGAGGTGAACGTGAACACCAAGAGTCTAACAACCAAATCTGGTAAGGGACAGGTTAAGTTTAATCTAGAAAAGTGTTTTCTTACTCAGGGCGTGAAACAGGCTTCCAAATACTAGTCGAAGGACTATTATGTGGAAAAGATATGGACTCACTCTGTCATGATTTCAGAAAATATTACTAGAACCAATTCTAGGCTTTTACCAGAGATTGTTACCTTAGACTCTTAGAAAAACTCTACTTGAGAGAAATGATATTTCTAGAATAGAATTTGAAGGTTTCTTACATTTTATATATTCTATTATATTAGTGTATTTATTTCTTAGTCCCCAGCAGGGCTTCAGACTCTTTTGGACAGTTATTAAGAAAAAACAAAGATTCCCCAGGTCCTACTTCAAACTAAGTCAGTGAGAAGCTTTGTGGGTAGGTAGGACCTGGGTTTATATGTGTTCAAATTAACTTCAGTAATTCTCTAACTGGGGTAGGAGAGAGAGGAGGAGAAATGACTATAAATGTTTTGAAACTTTTTCTAAATATACATCTCTCCCCTATACCCACCTTGTTTTGTGAAGGCAATTTAACAGAGGGGCTGTCATGAACACATATATTTTTAATAATATTTTCAGGTGATCCTAATGCTCAAAACTGCTGAATAGAACACCACAGCCTGACTGGGTTTTAATGCTCTTATGTTCCTCCCTCCCCCTAACATACCCTTTTCAGTTTTTATTTTTCTAGGTTCTCATCTCAGCCTACGGGGTTCTTAGGGGATTGATTCAGAGGCTTGTGTGATGCAGTTAGCACTGTGACTAGACTGTCAACAATGACCATTATTAGAGTTTGGCAGATACTGGTCTAAATCATTTGGTCCAGTATTAGAAAGGTCAATGGAATGGACTAGCTGAAAGAAAATTTCTGTTTCCATTGTTACAATTGATCAAGCCCAATGGTCAACTGGGGAGAGAATTCACGCATTGGTTTGTGTGCATCATCCAGTTGCAGACCTTCACACGTGTGAGGTGATAACCTGACCATCAGAGTGATTGATTTGTAAGCAAAAATGTAGTATGTATATTTGACAGACCAGAAAATAAAAATCAAAGAGCTAAAGAGGTATATACGATTGTTTTCATAATGGGTTGTGGGTCAGTTGTGTGAATTTAAAAGTAGTAGAATGTTTTCTCCTATAAGTAATAAAAAACAAAAGTGTCTATAAAACTTTTTTTTTGAGACAGGGTCTCCCTGTGTTACCCAAGCTGGAGTGCACTGGCATCATCATAGCTCACTGTGACCTTGAACTTCTGGACTCAAGCCGTCCTGCTGCCTCAGCCTCCGACGTAACTGGGACTACATGTGTGAGCCAGCATGCCCATCTAATTTTTCTATATTTTGTAGGGATGAGGTCTCACTCTGTTGCCCAGGCTGGTTTTGAACACCTAGGCTCAGGCAATCCTCTTGCCTCAGCCTCCCAAAGTGCTGGGATTATAGGTGTGAGCCACAGTGCCCAGCATGTAAAACTACTTTTTTAAGGCTGATATGAACAAAAGCATTAGATGCTTGGCTGCAAACGAAATCATAGGGGAAATGTTTAGACACACAGGCTTTGCACATACTTACACAAATGTACACATGTAATTCCGTGAAATCTGGAGATTAAATTCCCGTAAGTTAACTGGAAGGTGGCCTTCATGCCTTTGAAGTTGTGCTATGCACCTTTCACCTCAGTATAAATCATTTTCAGGCATTTTTGAAGACTTTGTGGTCTGTACATGCATGGTTCCACCTGGATTCATCTGCCACCTTAGCCATTGTTTCCATGAGGCCAGCACTCCTCACACCAAAGCCCCCCCGAGTTCTTTATCTTTCTATACTACACAGTTGGCCTCCTTGTTAGGCATCGGACCATTGATATTTACCACCAATTACATGGCTTTTATTTTTTTCACCAAATGGCTATGACTTAGAGAGATTTATGTGATTGAATTATCATTTTCTTGTTCCTTGTTTTGATTATTCCTCAATGTGGTTAGACTGGTTTATCGCCTTCAGCTTTGGTATTTTATCTAATATAAATCCCATAATCTCTCTCTGTGATTTTCCTTTAACCTAGGTTCTAAGGCTCTGGAATATTCCAATGGGTTTCTGATTGCCAGTCTTCCACTTTATTCATAGGAAGCTTTCGAGCTCTGCACCTGTGGAAGACCTGTGTGGACTGTTAGAGATGATGGAAACAGACGAGAAGGAAGGCCTGGGATGCCAGATCCCAGACTCAAGAGCAGAAATGCTTATCCAGTGGCTTCAGAGTCAAACGGTAGATGTTACAGGCTGTGTTGTGAATCTTTTGTTGCTTATTCCAAAATTCAGAACATAGCATAGGTGACTACAACAAGAAAAAAAATCATAAGGCAAGAGATCTACTCTGATTTTTTCCCTTAAGAGATTCCAATTTCATTTTTACTCTAAGGATAACTTTTTTAAAAGTGCTGTTAATGTACATTTTATGAATGCCAACAGATCACCTGATTCTGCCTATCAAAATGGCTTTTAGACTGTGCCTGAATGACCCACCGTGGCTTACCACAAATAGTCCAGTAATAGAAAGAACCTTGCACATAACAGGTGTTTTCTCAGTAATATTGGGAGGTTCACTCTAAAGAACCTAATGGCAATTCTAAATGGAAAGTGTAATAAATAGACACTTCAGAAAGCAACAGAGGTTTGTAGCAGTACTTGATATGAAGTGCCATCTAGTGGTTTGTGGCAGTCATTTCAATTGTAGTTCTTGAATTGAGTTTAGTGTTACTGAACAACAAGGCCTCTTTCTAGGCATCCTTTCCCCAAATTGATGACATGGAAGAGCTACCCTTTCTCTGGGCACAATGGTAAATACCATGGTTGTAATATGTGATGACCACATAAAATCTAAAGAATATCACAAAAACAGATTCAAAGAGAAGAGTAAGAATGGTACTATATTCTGTGTTTAAAGGACACTCATATGTTCTGGTTAACAGCTTCAAGAAGAAAATAAAAAAAATAAAAAAGGACACTCAATTTTTAGTAAGATGCACTAATATGCTTGTGAGTTAATTGTGTTTATATAAAAACTAATGAACATTCTATGAAAGAATCAATTCTGCTTTGGATCTGTGGTAGAAATGAAAGCTGCTTGCTTTGGGAACCTTGATAGTGCAACCTGTTTTCATGTGATGTGGCACAAATACTTGTGCTCCCAACCAGTCTTGTGTTAGGTTCTTAGGTTCCCGCCCAATTTACCGCTCCACTTCCGAGTCCAAATAGTACAGTCCATCTTTTTATGGTGGTACAGCTATACCACCTTCACAATTGGAGATATTTTACTTTTTAAAATATACGATGGCTTGCTATTATACTTTATATTTACTCTGCAAATTTCTCTTCCAGAGATTTAAGGGTCCAGATTTGCTGATTTCTTTGGGGATGGCCTCATGCTCTGAAATTAGGTGTTTTCTAGCATATTCCTTAGCCTGTTTTACATCCTATCTCACCCTTCTTTACTGCATGTTTTTCTGACTATTTAGCATGTAGTGAGAAAGGAATTTACTATTGTTACAAGAACCTATTGCCCTGGCCCACATCCAGAGGCTGCCAGTGACGGTAATAACTTAAGAGAGTACCTGTGGTTAAATTTTTGACATTTTTTTCAGAAATTATCAATGGAGTGGTATTCAAAGTGCTTACTGTGGGATGCAAGGCTTTATAGGATTGGCTCTCCATGACTGTTGGACCTCACTTCTCATTACAATGCTTCCTTTTCAATCCACTGCAGGCACATTGGCTTCTTCACTGATTCTCAAATATGCCAGGTAAACTGCCCACAGGGCCTGGGCTCAAGCAATTCTCCTGTCTCAGCTTCTTGAGTAGCTGGGACTATAGGCAAGCACCACAGCACCCAGCTACTTTTTATTATTATTATTATTATTTCAGTAGAGAGGAGGTCTCATTCTTGCTTAGGCTGGTCTTGAACTTCCAACCTCAAGCAATTTTCCTGCCTTGACCTCCCAGAGTGCTAGGATTATAGGCGTGAGCCACCGCATCCAGCCTTGGTTGCTTTTTAAATTGAACTCTGAATGTCCCCATTTAACCATTTTGGATTCCAACTCGTTTTTATTTCTATTGTATTTGAATAAGGAATCAGGAAATCTATTAGGATAATATATTTTATGGTTATGAACCACTTAGAAGCTATTAAAAATCACATATACTACTACATGTTTCCAAATGATGGTTTTTATGTTTCTTTCATGACTTGCTTATGACAGCAGAGAAAATAAAAAATCTATACTTTCCTTCTCAATCTATATTTCCTGTGACATTTATAGCATGCATAAATATACCCAAATCATATTTAAAGGGGGGGGCAGGAGGGAGGGGAAGAAAGAGAGAGCATCAACATATGCAGATGAGCCAGGTGCTAAGGAGGGCACAAGACAATTTCCAGGCTCTGCCCAGGAGCTGAACATAACATCGTACAAACAAACAAACTCACAAGCAGTTAATGAGTTTAAAAGACAGACAGTGATAAAATGGTGATAAGCATGGCTAATCAGCACTACCACAGGAAGTCATTTGTGGACTGCGTTTGAGCTTTCTGGGGCAGAGAGAAAGGCTTCAACAGTTCCAGGTGTCCCACCGCCCACTCACAAAGCTTTGCCTGCTCCCGGGTGTGTGTCTCTGTCAGTGAAGAATATGCTAGCCATTGTTCCTTTAGGGTCAGTATTTCCTCCTTGATGAGAAATTGTTGTGTAGTTTGGCGAAAACATGCCTGAATGCTTCACGTGCCTGTCTTACCTATTTTGAGGTAAATGAACCAAATTCCATTCTCCTGTTTTCTGTTTGACAACGACGACAGCTGTGCTGAATTCAATTCAGGCTCCTTGGATTAAAAACATGCAGTTTTCATTTGCCCACGATACATCGATCTTGAAGAGGGTCGGCCTCACCCATATTGTTTCCTTTTTCAGACGAATGGACACCCACCTGGGAATGCAGATGTGCATCAGGAAAGGCTGGCGCGTTCAGAAAAGGACACAGAATCCCTTGTTCTTCAGGCAAGTGATTTTTAAGTGCTGATCTTTCCTCATGACATACTTAAAAAGACTGTTTTAAATTAGGATGGCCAATTCAAATGCTTACAGCCACCAGACTGCTCATGGCAGTAAGTGCAGTAGGGAACGGTGAGGCCTGGGGCAGAATGAGGGCGTGTGCACCCAGTCCAGAGGGAGCTGCCCTTACTCAGCCTCAGCTCTTCCAGGGCCAGTCGGAATAGAGGCCCAGGGTCATCTGATGTGACTTTCTGATCTCATCTGTCGTCTGATCTGATTTTCAATATATAGCAGAAATTCAGATATATGCCTATCTATAGTATAAAAATCCAAATATATTAGTGTTTAAGTTAATATTTCTGAATCTGGATATAGACTTTTAATTTTTTAATTTTTTCAAATGATACCATGGGCCAGACAAAACACAACAGTGAGTGGAGTCTTGCTTGTGGGCTAAATTTGAGTTTGTGTCTTCATAATGTTTTAAAATGTTTGACAGTTATTTTTCTTTTGTATTTTGAGCTAAATGAATTGAAGTACATTTACTAGGCTGGTGATTATTGAGGAAAAACCCAGAGGTTTGCAATAAGCACTGAGGTTGAAGGAGTTACCCAAGAGCTAGGTCCTCACTGACCTTTGAATGTGTTGAGTTCTGATCTGAATCATCTTGAAAGATCTCATGGAATTTGAATCTTCTGGTTTCTTTTCCTTATTCTTTTTGAAGTATCAAATTAGAATAGTCCTTGATAATTTCTGTTTCAAACATTAACTTCATTTCTTCTCTGAACCTCTAATACTATCTCCCCCTGCCCCCAGAAAGATAATTAGTATATATATATACACACTCTCTGTCATAAATAGTTGAAATGGTCTTAACCTATAAAGTACTGTACTAATCAACACTAACTTTCTCCAAAATTGTATAGGACTCCTTAGATCAAAAAGCTACATATCAATAGGAATGTGAAGGACCACTGTTGCCTTGTTAATTTTCAGATTATTTTTCTTTACAACCATATGAGTGGTGGGATCATTGCAGTGTTTGTTCCATTTAGAGAAATACAGCATGCAATAGGATCCACATTCTTTCTAACTCAATTGCTGTATTTTACTCCAAATACAGATAAGAGTGTTAACAGACCAGCTGGAGGCTCAGGGAGAGAAGATTAAAGATTTGGAGTTTTCTCTCCAAGAGCACAAACAAAAGTTGAATGCAACAGAAAAAATGCTGCTGCCGGTTTGTGCAGAAGCCAGCACCAAGGTGGGCTTTTCCAGCTGAGTTATTGGAGTTGCTACATTTCTATGTTGTGTCTGCTCTGATGCAGCAGTAAATTTTGAGATTGACTTAGACCAACACATTTTATGCAAAAACCTAGAATAGCAGAGTCTCAAAACACACACACAATATAAAATGTTTATGTAATTAGAATCTGGAATCAAATATTAAGAGGATTGTAGGTTATTTTAATATTTTTCTTTTTCTTTTTTTTGGCATTCAGGTGGTTTTCTAACTCTCATCCAAGAGCATATATTTTATGATTAAGAAAAAAGACAAGGACCACATATGACCTTTGTTATTGGGGAAAAAAGCGCATAGTGTACACATACATGTGCACACACATACAGTGCTCACACATGAGAGGCTCTGTAATATAGCAGATAATGTACACACTGGAGCAAAACGCTCAGGTCTGAATTCCTGGTCTGCCATATCCTTGCTGTGTAACTTTGGGCAAATTCTTAACCTTTCTGTTTCTCAGCTTCCTCAATTTTTGAATAAAGATAATAGGAATTTCTACCTCATAAGATTGCCATGAGTATTGAAAGACTATATGTCAGAACAGTGCCTGGCACATAGTAAACACAATGCCGTCATCATCATCAATGTTATCATCAGGCTTAAGAATATATAAAGTTTATATATGTGTGTATCTATATAACATGTTTTCCCCAATAAACTGATGTGTTTATTGATGCTCAAAGAAGGGTAATTAAAGTAAATAATTTTTTAAGTGTATGTATTTGGTAATTATACCTTGCTGCATTCTTTACTTGATTGGTGCTGCTTTGTAATCATAAATGAAATAAACTCACAGGTGGCTGCTTCTAATAAAACAATTTTCAATGTATCTCTTAAATTCTAATAGGAAGTTCTGGGCAGAACTTCTTCAAAAACTCAGAGATTGCGTCTGATGGCTGAAATATGTGACTTGAAGTTAAAACTGATGGCTGTGGAGAAGGACAAATTGGATTACCAAGATAGGTCTAGAGACACAGAGGTGACCCTGTCTCTCTGTCTGTCTCTCTTTTCCCACCCCACCTCTCACACACAGTCCCATGGCAAAGTTGAAATTCCTTGGAGGTGTGTGCAGGGAAGGTAGTTAATTACTCTATGCCCTCACCCTGCTTCGTTTTAAGAATAACTTTTAATTATATTGACTTCTGATCATGAAACGCAAATGGAAATTTTTATTTTAAAAAAATTTTGTTAAGACTTTTGATATGCAATATTAATATTTTCATTAACCTTTAAAAATACATTTGACTTTAGGATATTTGGATCATCTATCCATTCATTTGTGTATACTGGTTTTCTTGATTTTATAAAAAATGGGTTTAAATACATGGTTTTATTAGTAGTTATTATTTAGGCACCCTGACTATTTACTACGTCATTGGATTTTGCTTATTTGTATAGAGAAGATGCTTATATTGTCATAAAATCACAGAACTTTTTTTGGAGGTCAGTTAATTAGACCTTCTACTTTTGGTCTATTCAACACACAAATCATTCTAGTTAAATAATGCTTACTATACCTTTATGAAATTTGAAGTATATTCTACAACTTGAAGTACCCATTTTAGTGGTTAAACAAGCTTTTTGTTTGTTCTCCCTATTTTATCGTTAATCCAGGTCTTCTAGTTTGTTTGTTTTGTGGGTGGGAGGAGAGAGCATATCCTTTTGAAATCTGTTCATTTGAAATGAAATGTAAAAACCTGCAGCAATTCCTTCTGAGGGCCATCTTCCCTCCTTTTTTCTATTTTCTTTCTTTGGTTGGAATATGGAGAGGTGTCACACTGGATTAGAAGATGGGTACTGAGAAAGAGAGAAGAAAGGAAATGCTTTATTTTTCCTCTCTATCTTTATCTCAGACATTTATTTTATGCCGACTGTATGCCATCATGATACTGGGCACATTACCTATATTATCCACTCTATGAAAGGTCTTTATAGATTTGGAGATAATGAGGTTTACCCCATTGCTATTTTCAAAATCAAATTTTCTATCAAAGATCCAACTATTATGAAAAATCTTGGTATATGTCTTGCTTCCTCCTTAGCAAAAGGAAATCTCTTACTTGGTTCATGTTTTAATCTTAAAGATCCTTGTCAATCTTCTATATGAGCCTGTTTCTCATCTGATTGAGACTGGGGCTCTTAAAATGAGACTTAGGAAGTTACTCAGTTTTAAAATTCTTGCTTTTGTGCTTTCTTTAAAAATCTGCTATGATGTTTTCCTCTTTCCCCTCTTTTTCTCATTCCCTGATTCCATAGTTGCTATAAAAGGTAGTAGTAGAACTCAGTCAACAGATGAACAACATGGCAGTGGAGCTAGCTCTGCTGCAGGGAAGAAATGACAGTATATGAGCATAGAGGTGGCCTTCTCCGTGTGCACGCAAAGTCTAGGGGAAGTCTTATGTATGACTAGAGTTAGTTTAACTTGGGTACAAGATGTTAACCAAATATTTGTGGGGGTTGGGAGTGGGAGTAAGACTCCAGAGTAATATTTACATCCCTTGAGCTTGGCTGCTGTTTGTATCAAACTTTCCCTCTGCTGCTTCCTTACTTTCTCATGCATTCCCAATCACATGCAAAGTGACCTTGTCATCAAACTTCCAGTAAACTCAAGGCCTGATCATTTTCTAATAAAAATTCAATGCTATTGGTAAAATGTAGTATGCACATACCCGGAGAGTATAGAATAGTTACTAAACTTTGTGATGTTATATATGAAAATAATTAAAATAGTCCTCAAAATTGAAACTGAATTGAATATTATTATGTTCCTGTTATTGTTTCTTTAATAAAAGCAAAATATTTTCCTGGATGTTTCATGAATTCAAAATCTTTAACTTTGTCTTAGAATTTGAGATTATTTTGATATTAATTTCTAAGAAAATATTGCCGTGGGGAAGAAGTACAAGAATTTCCAAATGGTTGGGAATAAAAGTCTTTAACCTTGGAAGATTCAGGACTTGCCTGTCCCAGTTATTGTAGATGGGAGATGGTTAGCATCGCTCACCACTGCCCCCTTCTGGTCAGAGCACACGTCAGAGATCGACTTCCTTGGAAGTTCTGGAGAGTTCTCTGAGAGGGAAAAGGGAAACTTAACAGGGATTTTCTTTTTTAAAGAACTGAACTTTTGATAAGAAATTAATTAAAATAATTTGAATTCTGTTGTTAAAAGTTTCACATGAAGGTGCCATTTCCAGATTTTCTAGCTTGAGTTGTCATGGGAAGATAGGACTTTTTTTTCAGGCTGGAAATCTGGATTCACATTTAAAATGTTGCTCCAAAAGATAATTAGGTAGTATTTTTTAAATTGGAAAAGGATCCCAGTTTATAATTCCATTTTCTTCAGTTGTTTTTTCTTTGCAAATTGCCACTATTTCTGAAAGTGGTAAAGTATAACTATATATATGGAGTCGCCACACAAAGGAAAAATTTTATAAAATTGTGTAATGAATATTTTGTAAATAAACATACAATATCCCATTTTCCCTATATGTGGAGACCTTTGGGACACCTTGTAAATATATGTACACACACACCCAATGATGAAGGAAGATCACGAAAGAGTCATATTATGCAAAAATGATTCATTTAACTAAGTGAGAGAAACTGGCTTTTTAAAAAAACTTGACTTCTGAGCTGTTAGATAAGGAATCATAAATAAAATTTTATTGAATCATGTGAAACAGTTCTTGACCTCATTCCTAAAAGGAGAAAATAGGTTTTCTCTTATTGAAATATAATTATTAATAAATAATTACATAATAATGGTAGGTAATACTTTTCTTCATTTTACAAGTGATCACAACTTAAAACCCTGTGGGTTTACTGGGAAGTGTATTTCACTGTAGCCTCTCTTTCCTAATGTTTGTAAACTTGAATTATTACACTTGGAAGTTTAGAATGATCCCTGTTCACAAAGTTTTACTTCTTATAGCATTGTTCTATTTTTTTTCACATTGTTCTATTTTTTTGTTCTATTTTGTTCACAAAGTTTTACTTCTTATAAAGTAAGCACTATTGTGTAATTCTATTATGTAGTTTATGAATTTGTGGCCCAGGAATAAATGTCTTATAAAAAGAGAGGAGCAAAACATATTAACCATTGGAGGGATTATTGTTGCTTATAATAAAAAAATTGCCTCCTACGCAGAATATTTGAGCTTCTCTTTTGGAGGAGTTGTTATTGTTTAGCACTCTCTACTTTCCTTTTCCTACTTTCTAGGCTCTGGACATAAATCTGAGACTATTTCTCAGAATAATTAGGCAAGTCTTACAGGTAAATTAGTCTTTGGTAAGAAGTGGCAGTAGGAAAGGTATCAAATTGTATTGTATTATAAAAACATTAGGATTGTATTCTCTTTCATTTTCCAAATATAAAATTGTATTATAATACTGAATATATGTGTAAACTATAGGCTTTCATTCACCCTCAAGTTGAAAATCTAGTTTAAGGGATTCAATTTTACTCCATTCTCCCAGACTGGGTTGATAAGCAATCTGTATTTTTGTAGACAAAGGAAGAAATTATAAAAAATATTTTTATAAATACCCATTTATCACTGAAAAGACCCTAAAGGTAAATGGTATTACTAAAGAATGTGGCCTATTTTAAGAGACAGAGTTCATATAGTCATTTTTAGTCTAGAAATATCTGACAGATGATAGTCAGATATTAAGTTACCTTTCTCAATCAAAATTATAGTCACCTTTTATTTTCATAAGCCCTTCACTTTAGGGCAGGGCATTGAGGATTTAAAGCAGTGTTTTAAATGGAAAGATGTGTTGGTTCTTAAGGAGGTAAGTTCATTTCCATTTGTCTCATCTAATTCATACAACTTTAACCTAGGCACCATTGACTTCTTTAGATTTCCAAACTGCTATTTTGGAATAGATAACTGTTACCACTTTCCTAATGGATTTCCTTGTTTCTTTTTCTACAGGGGCTAATCCAGGAGATCAATTATTTGAGATTAAAAGTCAGTGAAATGGACAGTGAAAGAACTGACTTTGAAAAAAAAGCTTAAATCAATCAAAGTAAGTTTTCTCACTGGTTAAAAGTTTTCAACAAACGGTTCTACTACTCATCCATAACCAGTAATATAAGTAATGTATGTTTTCTACTTAGTATATGAGAAAGAAGGTATTTTGTAAGTGAATTAAGTTATCCTTGAAGCTGAGAAGCTTCTTTAATTTAAACACTGCTTGTTTTGCATAAAAACCAAGGCTTAAATAATGTGACAGACCATAACCTCCCATTTCTATGAGTGATATCTAACCTCTTTTCTAAACTGATGCTACTTTCTTGATCATTTAGCTTATCTTTGTCTATTAACATCTATAGCTTTGTTTCACTCCTCTGTCTCTCTACCAGTCTTGAAGGGCCAAACTTTCCAGCATGAAAAGCAAGGTGGATTAGCAGATGGAACAAAAATGGGAGTCACTGATGGGGCAGAAGACTTGGGTCATGGTACCCACAGCCTGTTGCTTTCTGGCTTGTGTCATTTTGCTGCCATGGTGGTTACAGTGGTGTGTGCATCACCTGATTATGAAAAATACATTTCAAGCTGATTAAAGGGATGGTGTGATCCCTAATATTGTTTTCAGAAAGATAGGAAATAGTGAAAACTAATAAGCAGGTAAATAAAAGTATTAATTTATAAATTAAATCTAATAGTCTTAGACTATCTGAGACCCAACCACGGTAAAATAATTTTACCATAGGTGAGGTAGAGGCTCACCTATGAAAGAATTCCTTTACATATCAACAGCAGAGACAGCTTTCCTCCTTAGCAACTTACTGGAAGGTAAACATACAGCACTTGACTATACCATGGCAGTGAATGAAAATTACTGCTTAGAAACAGTACCGTGAGAACAGGGCAGTACTTCTTGCTAGAGCTATTGAAAATTTCTCATACTTGGTGTCCGCTCCTACTGTAAGTTAGCATAGCTTTTTTGGAGAGCTATGTTTTCACATGCATTTTGTGTAATAAATATCTTTAGAAACCTCTGTAAATGGGTTATCAAATATAAAAGTATACTTATTAGCATTGCATAGCTCTATTTTCTATGTTAAATGTAGCCAACAAAAGTCAAATTTGCTACAGCTAATTCTTTACTAAAGTAAAACTGAAATTAAAACATTAATAAATAGATCAATGGACTTGGAATCTTTTGTAGTTGCATAGTTAAAAAATAAAAAGAGGGCTTAAAAATGTGTTTCCTAAATATATTTTTCCCATTGTTTTTAGGAGATTGTGTTCTTTCATCTTAGTGATGAAGATGAATTATTTCATTCTGAGATTTGGCTAAAGTTGGTCATGACTTGCTACCATACCCACTACATAAGCTCTCTGCTTCTCCAAGGAGCATGAATGCTATCTTGAAACGCTGAGTAAATCTCAAGCAAGTCTTTTCCAATTTGGATTTTATTTTGCTTTTATGATACTGAATATCAAATTTGATTATCTTCCTTGATTAACTTGTGTACATATTGTTTTTTAGTATTTAACATAAGATTTAATCTTTAGGTCTTTCTTGGCCTTAATTATACTGTAAAAGATTTTATACTGTAAAAGATTTATTTTTAATTTGATCACAAAGAAACTTAAAATAATTATAGCATAACTATTATTAATTGGACTTCTATTAATTGTCTTGCTTCCTGCTTCTCATTGCCCCTGATTTCTGATGTTTGTGTCTAAATTCTTGTAGACTGTTGCTTCATCTGTAAAATCTAATTATTGATTTAAAGAGCTCAGATGCTCTTTGAATATTCTCTTTTAGTCATAATCTACTATTTTAAAATGAATTTATAGGATGAACTGGCATCTTCAAAAGAATAACTAGAAGAAAAAGAATCTGAAATAAAAAGGCTACAAGAAAAAATTTGTTTGCAAGATGAAAAGAGAAAGGATTGAAATTCTCAATGGAGGTAAGAATGTATGTTTAACATTTGTTATCTTGTTAAAATCCTCCAAAATCTGTAATGAAACTGATGTTAGTCAATGTGTAATTTTAGCATCAAAGATAGAGTAGCACAAGCCGGGTAGGCCCAGGACCACAGGGAATTCTCTACAGCTTTTTTTTGCATGGGAAGCCATTACCTTCTTCTTCTGCAGCTAGAAAAGGACAGTTCTGTACTTTATTGGGTGGTCATTTTAGATTATTAAATTGTAAACTTCTCATCACAAGAATGGCACACTGAATTGGGAATATGTACATTCAGAAATTCAGGCTGGAGAGAGAATTGAGGCCCAGTAATTTTAATGCCACCTACTTATAAATGAGTAAAGCCAGTATTTAGTGCTGAGCTTAAGAGTTGGGTGGGCTTATCAAGAGATCCTGCAGAGTGAACTTAGAACATAATCTTGGAGCAGAATGGAGGAGGAAAAGAAAACATGAGTGCTACTACAGCAAAGAAGGGACTATCAGTTGACAGATCTAGGAGAAGGAGAGTATCATGACAAGACACTAAAGGAGATTATTTTAAAGGATGCAGGAGGTAGTTAAATGGTACCAAGTGCCACAGCAATGTTGAGACTAATTTTAATACTATGAATTCAAATCACTTGAGGAAAGAATTTGGCAATCCTTCACACTCTTTTAATCTTTAGAGGAGTTGCAATTTTAAGTTTATTAACTTTACTCACAATAAACTGTAGAGTAGAACATACATTTGTGTTCCATTTTTAATATTTACAGAGTGCTCTTTGTAAATTACTGATTTGTAGACCAACAGAAGAAGAATTCTCACCAATTGCTAACACCAAGAAAAATTAACATCTAATCATGTTCATGCCCTATTTAAAAATTCATCAAGTCTTTGCTCTGTTCTTGGAACAGCTGAAACAGAAAAGGAGACAGCAGAGCACCCAGATCTGGCTGCATCTTCTCAGCTGAAAGGCTCACAGTGGAACAGTACCTTTCTAGGATCTCTGCCATCTCTGGATTCCAAAAAGAAATCCAGAGGTATCATGAAACTCTTTGGAAAGTAAGTGAAAGAGTTAGCAAGTCGATTGGGCCTTGTCTTACATGTGGCTCAAATGTAGGGGTAATTGGAAAACTGGCTGAAAATGGGTATGGAATTGTAAGACTTTTGTATTCTTTTTATGGAAGGAAGGTTGTGATGTGGGGTTCATTAACTCATTGGGTCTCAGTTAAAGTGTAAACTTGTATGTCATGTAAGTTAATGACATATAAAGAGGATAGGCTCAAATATATGTGCCAGCTAAAAATGTTCTGACTCGCGAGTCTATGGCCTCCTTAGGTATTAATAAGGCCACAATGTGTGTTGTGTCTTCTTCAGATATAGGAGAAGTCAGTTGTCGACAACATTCAACCCAGATGGCATGTCTGAGTCTGAATTCAAAAGAAGAGGGACAGGGGCAACTGCAGGGCCCCCATTGGATTGATCTTGAGATTTGGGACAGTCTAGCAGGTAAGAACAGCCAAACTAATGGACTTTTGTATCTGTACTATTCATCAAAGCCTTATGAGTTCCTGCAGTGTTCGTACCTTCATTAGGTTAAACAAAGTCATTGCTTATGCTGGGCCTACTGGGTGGGTCCGTCATCTATAGAGTGGTGCAATTTGTCAGTGGTCGATGAACAACTATACAGAAGGTGAGGGCTATGTGAACTAGTTGAGGAGCCAGAGCTAAAGTGTCAACAACATCTATATTAGAACAGTTCCTGGACTTAAGTTTCACATAAACAGTAATAAGTATTCTATAGCAGAGCTTTAGAAAGATGGGATGGCGTGGTGGTTACTTGGATTTGATTTCTCGCCTTATGGTTTTCTACCAGTTGGGTGACCCTGAGCAATGACTTCTGTGCTCTGTGCCTTAGTTTTCTCATCATAGTAATTAGTACCTACTCAAAAAGAGGATTGTGAAGATTAAATGAGTTAGTATATGTTAAGTGTCTGGCAGACAATAACTGCTCAATAAGCATTCATAATTAATGGAGTCTATGAAAGCACTTAAAGAAATAAATTCTACCAAAATTCTTAGATTTATCAAGACTACACAATGTTTTACCTATTAAGACTCTAAGAATGGTTGGACATGGTGGTTTATGCCTTTAATCCAGCACTATGGGAGGCAAAGGCAAGAGGATCACTTGAGGCCAGGAGTTCAAGACCAGCCTGAGCAACATAGCCAGACTCTGTCTCTACAAAAACTGGAAAAGTTAGGTTGTGGTGGTCCATTCCTGTAGTTCCAGCTACTCAGGAGACTGAGGCAGGAGGATCACTTGAGCCCAGGAGTTTGAGTCTGCTGCGAGCTATGAACATACCACTGTACTCCAGCCCTGGCAACAGAGCAAGACCCCCTCTCTATTAAAAAAAAAAAAGACTCTAAGAACTTAGACACTCTTATCAAAGTTTAGAGCTTGTTTATATATACTACGCTGACTTACTAAGCTTAAAAGGGTGCGATTGGCAACCATAAAGCACAAAGTGTTGGTACCAAATTCCTTAAAAGTATAATGGGCTAGAAAGATTTTGAACACACTGTCTTCCACACAGGCAAAACCCTGGACACAGGTTTTATTAAGGAGGTAACTCTCTTTGTCTCACTGGACACATGTTCTCTTTGTACATAGCAGAGGACATCTGGTGCTAGTTTAAAAAAAATGTTTTGTTCATTTTCACATCTTTTTCCCCAAACAGAAATACTATTTGTGTGTCTCAGTAAAAGAAAACAGGGATTTTGCTTTGATTACTCTTTCCTACAGTCAGTGCTAGCATATTGCCCTCTTCTCATAAATTACCATCTGTAGAAAAACCGTAATTCTGCTAAAGTTAATTCCAATTTGACTTGAGTTTCTTTTAGTCTGAGTTTCCTGTTTGGGAATCCAATCTTCAAATAACTGGTTGAAACTGGTACAATGATTCCTGTTGGTTCAACTTGATCTTTTTCTCCAGAACATGGTCTTGCTATATCACATTAAATCTTTTGTGGTTTCATTGAAATAAAGACAGTGGTCTTAGAAGGTAACTTTCAACTCTGGTACCAATTCCTCCTCCAGTACATACAAAAAAATTAAGCTTTTCACGGTCAAATGTGTATCAATGGGAAATTTCCATATCTATTGAATGTACAGTTATTCAGAACTCTCGATAAGCCAAAGGATTGGCTTTGAATTGTTTTTTATGCAGTTATTCGTTTCCCCATAGTGACTTGGATTTACCATTTGCCAAGTGGACCAAGCAAGTGTGCAGTTGGCTTGTGAAACAGGGTTTGAGCTTTTACCTGTATTCTGGTCAGCCCTGGATAATATCTGGCCAAACACTTTTGTAAGCTTCTCAACCAGAGAAGGTGACTGCTTCTCTGTTTTGTTTACAAGATGGATATTGAGGGGAAAAGAATATGAATGTAGGATTGTTTTATACTCCAGAAAGGGACATGGGTGAAGCCAGTAAGTACTTCTGAAAAAGTTTGGGTTTTTAACTGCTTCACACTTCTGTTATGAAAGCTCAGTATTTGTCCTCAAGGTCATTCAGAAGAAAGAGAACAAATGGTTTTAGGGAAGGAAAGAGAAGTTTATTACTTTGCCAGCAATGGAGGAAAATGGTAGACCTTCTATCTCAAAATCCACATTTCCCGAACATAAGCAGAAAACAGAGCTTTAAGGGAGGGTCCCTCAGTTCTAGGCCATTGTGGTTAACATTCTAATCATACCTCTCTGCCAAAGACAAAGCCTGTGACCTCTGCCAGCTGCCCACCTGAGAGGGCCTGGGATGCTGATTCCCCAGGCTACTCCTGACCACCTGCTTAAGGCAGGGATGCAGGCTTCAGTTCTCAAAAAGAGTGGGGAAGTGTTAAAGAACAGAAATTACTTTTGCCATTTTTTCAGGCCATTCGTCTGTTACACTTATTTCATATCATGGACTTAAAAGGAAGGACCTGGTGTTGATTCTTTATGAACACTTAAGCTGGTGGACATTTTAATGAAAAATAATTATGTAGCTATAATAATAAGCCTTAAGCTCATATTTCTCAAAATCATTCTCTGCATTTATCAATGGCCTATCTCCTCAATGGAATATATCCAATTCAACTTCACTTGCAAAAAGAACAAAAAGTGCCCTACTTTTATGTCCAATTATTTAACATTTATTCCCAATTATTTAACATTTTGTACAAAATCAGAGTAAAAGTCTTATTATGCATGCTATATTCTATCTTACGAAGAAAATGAGTCACTAGGAATGCCTACCACAGCCCTAAACTAGTTGTGGCCTTTGCTTATAAGGGCCTATTTGTTCAACAACATTTACTAGCCCAAGCACCTAGTATAATTTAATGAGGAACTGGGTCTTAATGCTGCCTTATTGGAATAACATGCATCATTTGTCAGTGGCATCCAGCTATCTAGATAGCATTATAAAGCATATTTCTGTCTGTTGTTTCAGAAACTTGGAATCAAGTTCCATTTCATCAAAAGAAGCCTCCAGGTGGCACTGTAAGCCTGGGGATCTGAAGAAGAAACCATTCATGAGAAGCTAAATCTCACGGGGTTCTTAGTAAAAGGTTTCATCTTTTTAAAAAATAAACTTATAGATAGTGTGCATTTCTTTTAATCATAAGAACAGGTGTTTTGTGGCATGGTAACAACACTGGTTACTCCATTTTAGGATGGTTGGATGATATTGGCCTTCTCCAATATAAGATTTGGCTTTATGAAGAACAGGTAGATGGTCAAATGTTATTAATACATTACATGACTGTTGTGATTCCTTTGAGGGGCTTGGGAGAGTAAAGCTTTCTTTTTCACTGAAACACACAGAAATAGAGCAAGCAAAATAT